TGTTGGATGACATTTTGGGCTACCATATCGGTGACCTATCGGATTCTATCTCGGTGACCTATCGGTGCTGTCTACCTCCCCCACCTCCTTCGTCTGTCCTCCCACCTTTCATCTGTGTATGTGTGTACGGGATCTGGGCATCGTCTATGCTTGGCCCAGACCCCACCATCTCATGATTGTATGTGTGTGGAGTGATACCTATGTGAGTCAGTCCGTTTATCAGACTTCCGCTGCATATATGCTCATCCTACATTGGTTGATTTTTGGTTCAGCCCATACTCATTGAAGTATGTAACAGTTTTGGTATCGGAGCAGACCATATAACGGATCTGCTCACAAAGGTAAGTCTGATTAGGAATTAGATTGTTCTTCAATCTTCCGAATCAGCTCTGTATTACTATTGAGTTCAAAGTTGCAAAATTTTTTCTTCTTTTTTCGGTATTCTGTTATTTTGGCATTTCCGTTTCAATTCGGTATTCGGACTTATCATTCGGATTTCCGTTTTACTCCGGTAGGCTGTTTATTAGGATCCGACAAATTGATACTAATCCAACATTCTGTTTGATTCGGATTTCTGGTTAGTAATTCGTCATTAGGGTTAAATCAGTTTTCTGTTGATTTCGGGATTCTGATTTCTTTCGGTATTCCGTTTTTTATTTCGGCATTCTGATTTTAATCCTGTATTTCGTTTCGAAATCGGCATTTCCGTTTTATGCAGTATGGGGAATTAGGGTTACGAAAATTTTTGGTTTTCACTCAACTTGGGAAATTCGAACGTTTTGGGAACCGTAAATCCAGAAATTCCGCCGAAACGCGGAAAATAAGGGTTGGGCCCGAAATTTTCGCGAATTTTTTTTTCTTTCCTTTGTTTGAGAAATTCCGAAAACGGGTTTAGGCCGTTAAAAATCGGATTTTGACGGTGGAAATTTCCAAAAATTCACGTTTTTGAAAATTCGAGTGTTTTTCCCTGACTTTTTCCGATTTTTTTTTTTGGCAAACTAATCCGAATCTGACCCTCAAAATTGCAACTTCCGGGTAGTTCACTCATTAACAGTGAACTCCCGGACTAAAGATGATCTCAACGGATACCTAATCTTGATACAATTCAAATTCGTTCATTATCATTATTGCAACTACTGTTTATTGATTATCTTTATTGCAAATATTGATTATTGATTATCCTTATTACAAACATTGTTTTATGGATTATCATTAAGAATTATTATTTCGTTATTTATCATTAATTAAGCTTTATTGATTAAATAATTCGTTAATTTTATTTCTTATTACGAATTTTTTGAATTGTTTACGGGAAATTTATTTTTCTGTTTTCATTAGGTGTCTACAGTCCATCGGTGGGACAGGGGACTGTATGCGTATTGGTTGATTGTTCTACCCCTGTTCCCACTCTCCCTACCCTCCCCGTACTCTGTGACCACCGGGACCCCTCAAATACCACATCAGTTCACACTGATGTCGATGGAACAAGACTCCGGAGCACTGCCACGACGCAGTGCCAGGCTTGCAGTTCGTGCACGACCTGTAGTACCTCCAAGACCCAAGCAGCGACTCAGCAAGCGGAAGACTCCAGCAGCATCAAGTACAGCAATGACAGTACCGGTTAGCACCGGGGTTCTTCCCGCATGCCCGGTCCAAGGGGCCAATGAGCCGGTGGCAGCTTACTTTCAGCGGGTACAGGTATTCACTGATACCGTAGCTGCCGTCAAGGCTCAGCAGGAGGCAGCAGAGACAGAACGTCAGCGGCTGGCCAATGAGGCGGCAGCCCAAGCTCAGCAGACTGCTGAGGCTGACGCAGCGGCAAGAGACCAACGGAACGTCGCCAGTACGGAGTCCCTGATTCATAGTGAAAGTCAGTGGACAACGTTCCTCCAAGGCATGATCTTTGTGCCTTCGGATGCGCAGGCAGATCCGACACCGGCGGAGGCAGAGAGGACTCACCTGGCTAACTTGATGCTTGGCATGATGAGAGGAATCATGTGGAATAACACACTGCTGCAGGCACATCTGCGCACGGAACGACAGCAAAGGCAAAAGTACCAGCAAGACAGTGCTGTTTTAACAGCTGCCATCCGTGCCGAAGCAACACAGCAGCAGCAACAGCATCAGCTGTTGAACTCCGCTCTCGCATGCATCAACAGCATTGAGGCTAACGCCTCAGCAGCGCCAGGCTGCACGACGGACGCGACGAAGCCACTCAATGAGCGCATCGATCACGTCGTCACCATCATTGGCGAACTAGGTGATTTCACCAGTCCGGCCACGATCAGCAGCACGGTGGCTTCTATCAAGACGGACATCACCAAGCTGCAGACGAGACCGGACGCCGCTACGAAGACTTACAAGATGCCGCACTTCGACATCAGCAAGTTCGATGACTACAACAAGTCGGACGCCTTGACATGGTGGCAACGCTTCCTCATGGAAGCATCATGCCGCACTGTCCCGGCGGACGACATGATGAAGGCGCTCTACTTGCAATTGATTGGAGGAGCACAGGCATGGATGAACCATCTGGCGGCTACCAACAAATGCACCATCGCCGAACTCCACACGCACATCACATGGAAAGAGTTCGAGAAGCTATGGCTCACCCGGTTCATGGTTCGCAACGTCGTGAAGGCAGCCATGAACGAGGTGTACACCTGCTCTCAAGGTAGTATGCCAACTCGAGACTGGACAACTAAGTGGCAGAAGATAGTGACCACACCAGGCTTCGATTTGAGTTTTACCAATCAACGATCCGAGTTTTTCTCGCGATCGTGCGCAAGACTGCGATCGGCACTCGGCAACGAGTACGATTACGATTCATTCCAGGCCATTCTGGATCGTGCAAACTTGGTCATCCAAACAGATGACAAGGCCGCAAACGAACGGCAGTCCCAACCGCATTATGTGGCTAAGCATGGCTATCAACGTCCGACACATAACAATGCCGTGATTTCTGAAGAAACAGACGATCTCCACGCTGCAGCAGCATCCTCGAGTGATGGAGGAATTATAGCAGCGCTCCCGCCGAAGCGTCCCTAGAGATTTCGGAAGAACAAGGCGACACAAGAGACGACATCGACGGGAACTGGGCAGCAGCCATGGACGGCTTACAAGATAACCAAGGATGTCTATGACCTTCGTCAAAAGTACAGATACTGCCTTTGGTGCAACGACGTCACTCATTTGACCGCACAATGCCCCGAAAAGGGCAAGGCACGCGTACCCCATCCAGCAAACTCGGGAAACTAAGTTATGCAAGGAGAGGGGGGACGTCTCTCCTCACTCCGTCGGAACCGGTTGCCTTGCTAGCAATCGATGTCACTATCGGGGAGCATGCGTTAGTCGCTGATTCTCGTGCCACGTACGAGGATTATGCCGCCCAGCTGGTACCACCACTAGACCAGCCAAGCCACGTGCACTTAGATCGCGTATGCGCCGCCTGTACACCGTCGGCAAGTGATCCGGTCAGTTCGTCACTGATTTCCGAGGACTCGACGGCGTGGTCAAGACTTGAGGAGCTTGACCCGCTCACAAGAGAGGACTTCGCTTGGATGCCTCTACCCTCGACCGGAACCTTGCCAAGGCCGCATTGCAACGCCTTGATGGCAACTCTACGCTCCTATTTGCACACTACAGTACCAGCTCCGTTGACGGACGACGGRGTAGCGGTTGTCGATCTCCGCTCCTATCTTGCGAAGATTGACCGTGAGTACGCCACACAAAGGTACGCTGAAACCGACGCGCCTTTGCTCTATATCCGCATTCAGATCGGAAAGGCAACCTGTAGTGCCTTGATTGATTGCGGAGCGTCTCGCAACTTTATGAGCGAAGCCTTTATGGCCCACGCTGGTCTTGGCCCGCGCATTCGAAGGAAGACGCAACCTACGCAAGTTACACTCGCGGACGACCGCACGCAAAAGTCAATTGACCGATGCGTCGACGACGTTCCGGTGTACTTTGCGCCACTTGCGTGCGAGCCGGTGTCTTTTGACATCCTCGACACCAAGTTCGACATGATTCTAGGCATGTCTTGGTTGCGTAGCGCCGATCATCCGGTGAACTTCCATAACCGAATCGTTCACATCCGTGATCGGAACGGAGTGTTAGTCCCATGTACGGTCGCGACCCCTCACACTTCGATTGCTTGTCACGTGGTTTCCGTTGAGAGAATTCGCGACGCCATAGCTCGGAATGACGTCGAGGAGATGGGCCTTGTATTCTTGCATGCTCTCCCCTCGCCGGACGGACCAGCCGCGTCAC